GGGCCGCAGCCCCGGCTCCTCTCCCCGTGTCTCGCAGGGCGCAGTAATACACCGCCGCGTCCCCGCGCCGGGGCCGGTCGAGCCGCAGGGCGCTGGACCGGCCGTCTGCCGCCACCCGCAGCCAACCCGGCGGGGCCGGTAGCTCGTCGAACCCTGTGAGGCTGTGCACGAGGAATGTGGGGCCTCGGCCCGGGGAGCTGACGGTACCAGAGGATGAATTCGTTTGACTTTTTGTCGGGCTGTGATCAGTTGATGCTGGTGGCTGTGCCCTCGGTGGTCTCTGCGAATGCCTCCTGCTGCACTTGGGCTCTGCCCTCAACCACTGGAGGGAAAGGAGAAGGAAATGCCAAAAATCAATGGAGACCATCCAGCTCTGATCACACTTTTCCCCTAGAAATCGTTAGAAGGAGTGGCAGGGGGACAGAGCTAGAGCAGAATAAATGGGGACAAAGTGCTCATCATCAGGGAAGTAGAGTCATCCTTGGTGTGGCTGTGCGGAGGAAGGGAAGTTGTCTGGGAGGGAATTTGAAAGTGTTGCATGGAGAGACAGAATGAGAGCCAGGTGTATGGATGGATGATGAAAAGCAGAAAGGAAAGGAAACTTGAGTGTGTTACAGAGAAGGGTTGAGGGCTGAATTCAGAAGACTAAATGGAGAGTGCAGAGGGGTATGAGTGGATGTATGGAGTAATGGCACGATGCAGAAAGCTAACTCCCCTCCCCTCTCCTCCGCCCTGCAGCCTGGCACAGCAGCAGGGCCTTGTCCCAGGCTGTGCACCAGCTTTCCCTGGGGCTGCCCAGGGAGGTGGTTGAGGCATCATCGCTGGAAGGATTTAAAAGATGGGGTGACATCGTGCTTAGCGATAAGGTTTGGCGATGTTTTTATTAGAGTTTGGTTGATGGTTGAACTGGATAGTCTAAAAGGTCACTTCCAACTCAGACAGTTCTATGATTCTAAGTAAAGTGTCATTCGAAGAGAGGGTGTCAAAGGTCTTATTCAACTCTAGGTACATATATGCCCTTTTCCACAGCGCCCGTAGCCTCCTGAGAAAGCAATAAACTTGTCCATCAGCTTCTCAGCTCAGAAGCACCTCCATAGAGAGGGATACCAGCCCTGACTGAGCTCTCCCAGAAGAGCTACCTGGCCTCACTAGAAGGAAGTGGAAGAGCCCTCCCAAGCAGTTCAAGCAGTTGCATTGTCTCCAAACTGGACCTGAGTCCAGGCAGCAAAACCTTCAGTCAGGGATACAGGCTCAGGAACTTTATAGATTGTGCACAGCCCATCTTAGAATGAGGTTCTCTTCTGGACACCTCTGCAGGACAGCAGTTGGCTTTGGAGGAGTGTGTTCTTGGATCCAATGTCCCATCCCTAGCAGGGGCAGTCGCTGGGAACTCAGATGGAGATTCCAGTATGGGACATGAACATTCTGGGTATGAACATCCAAGCTGTCATCAGTTCTTTGGCATTGCCTGTGAAATCCAGTGAGTCTGTTCTTCCGCTCACAGATATCAGACTCTGTGTTCCTTTCATTCAGTACCTGTTTGGGACACGGTCTCGGCCCCTGTCTGGCACAGCACCAGGCCTGTGAAGAGCACAAGTCCATTTGACATTGACTTGGGCATGAGGGAGGGCTGTGTCCCACCCCAGGCAGAGTCAACACTGTTTTGGAAGTGAATCCACTCAGTGACGGCCAGCATGAGGTGGGCAGGGTTCCTCAGCCTTCTCCTTGCTGAGAAAGCAATCCTCATTCTTTGAACTCTCTAGTGGCTGGGGAGAGCAGCTGTGTCCTGGCATGGAGAGGCAGGGAATGGGGACTGCCCAGCCATGCTGAGGAGCTCCCAATAGGGTTATGCTGAATTCAACTAAGGATCCGAAATGGAGTGACTCCATCCTTGCTGTGGCCTGAAATGAGCACCAGCAGAATGTGAGCTCTGTAGGGGCAGGAGAAGGGGAGCTCAGGAGGCAGGGGCTGCATTTCAGGGTCTCTTCCCTGAACAGATCTCCAGGGGGCTGGTGCCATCACCACTCAGCAGCACTTGGGTTCCCTGGGAACCTGCTGCACTTTGGTGCTCATGTGAGTGCCCCCACCATGAGCAGCACCTTCCCTTGTGATGAAGACACACAGAAGAATGTTCTGGGGATGCACAAGACCCAGGCATGTCCATGCCATTGTTTGTGTACTCACAGACTGCACAGAGTGGGGACAAGTCCAAAACAGCTACATTTTTTTCCTGAGGTCAGTCTTAGGAAGAATGGGGTCAGAACCGAAGAGCACAATGCACACATCTGGGGAGGGAACAAGTGACCATTGGGGTCAGCTGGGGATGCAGGGAAAGGGATGGACGTTGTGCTTCCTCATGAAAACGAGTCATTCAGCATCCAGCTGAGGATGGCTGGAGCTTCCTCCTGAGAATGACACTTCGATCGCCAACAACAGAGTGACCCAGGCTGAGGTGTCTTTCCTTCTCTGGACTTGTCAAACACTTGAGCTGACTCTTCTGCCTGCACTGCTGCATTCGTGTCCTAGAAATCCTGGGGCCTTTCAGCCCTGTGCTCAAAGTAAACTTTAACTGGGGAATGGTCATGGCACAAACCTGGAAATGAAAAGGCAGCAGTGTTGGAAACCAAAGCACAGCCCATATCATTAGCTGCGATGGTTTGCATTCAAGATGAGCTTGTCAGAAAATTGTTACCTCTGCAAAGGGCACCTCTGCTCCTGCAGCAATGAAGGGCAGGTATAAAAGCCAGCACAGGTCCCTGCTCTCTCATCCACTTCTCTTGCCTCCTTCTCCTTGGGAACCAGGTGAGTCTGAAGCTCCTTTTCCTTCTCATCCAAAGTGAGATCTCTCCCTGAGGAATATATCAGCTAATTATGGCTGTGCCCTGTCCTGGGCTTTTGATCTTCTCATGACGTGAGAACATCTGCTTAGAGAGAGGCTGGGACGTGGCAGAAGCTTTCTTGTTTGTTTGTTTTATGCAATAAAAAAGGGTCTCTGTGGGCCATGCTGTTCTTTGTAGGACAATGAAGAGCATGTGGCTCCTGTCCAAGCTTCAAGTTCACCACTCAGTAGTGGCCTTGGCTCCTTTGTGAAAAGGAAAACCAGGCTACTTCTCACCCACCTTTGTGCTCTGTTCCCTCCCTGCTCCTCTCCCAGGTGCATCTCCAGCCCCAAGACATGTCCTGCTACAACCAGTGCCTGCCCTGCCGGCCCTGTGGCCCGACCCCACTGGCCAACAGCTGCAACGAGCCCTGTGTCAGGCAGTGCCAGAACTCCACCGTCATCATTGAGCCTCCTGCTGTGGTGGTGACCCTGCCCGGTCCCATCCTCAGCTCCTTCCCTCAGAACACCGTGGTGGGATCCTCCACCTCTGCTGCTGTTGGCAGCATCCTCAGCTGTGATGGAGTGCCCATCACCTCTGGGTGCTGTGACCTCTCTGGCATTTCCAACCGCTACTGTGGCAGAAGGTACCTCCCCTGTTAAAGATTCTCCGGATGTCCCAGGGAGACCCTTTGAGGAATTCAGAACACAGTGCTGGACAGAGGATCAAGCCTTTCAGTGTTGTTTTCAACACAGCCGAATGGCTTTGCCTGGCTTTGCCTTTCTCTTTCCCTTTTCCTTGTGTGCTTCATATGCCCTTAGCAGCAAGATTCCCTCAAGGTCAAGTTGGTGGGCACCATTTGTCCCCTACCCCTCTATGGGTCAGGTAGACAAACATCATGCAAGAACTTCTTCATGAGCAAGGACCGCAGCCTCACAGGTGCCCCTTGGGCTCCATGAGCTGGTGGCCCCGACCTGGAGTGACTTTGTTTCCTTCTTTTGACTCATTAAAATTCTGCTGCATTCAAGTGTGGCCTCCATGTTGTCCTTCCTTCTGTGGACACTCCCCAAGCTGCCAAAGGAGAAGGGGTTGAAGGGGGTAAGAGCACAAGGAGATCCTTTCCCATTCACAGAGGAGAGGGTGGTTGGGACATCCTGCAGTGGCTCCTCTTTTTTGGAACCATCCCTTGGAGCTGAGGAAGACATCCCAGGCTGCTCTGATTCCAGTGACCATCAGTTCATGCCTTGCTTTCTGTCAGCCAAAAATTGTCCAGGAAGGCAGGAAGCCCTGAGGTCTCAGCAGCCCCATGAGCTCTTGAGCAAGGCCATTCCTCTTGCTATGGCCAGAGCTGCTCTGGGGTGTTGGGATGAAGGGTGTAGGGCTCTGGAAGATGATTTGCTTGCAGAATGGCAGGAGTGATAATGAAGGGAATCATAGAATCATGGAACCATAAAATGGTTACTGTTGGAAGGGACCATAGAGATCATCGAGTTCCAACCCCCCTGCCATGGGCAGGGACACCTGCACCAGAACAGGTTGCTCAAAGCCCCATCTAGCCTGGCCTTAAACACTTCCAAGGATGGGGCATCCACAACTTCCCCAGGCAACCTGTTGCAGTGCTTCACCGCCCTCACAGTAAAGAATATCTTCCTAATATCTAGTCTTAATCTCCCCTCTTCCAATTTAAAACCATTACCCTTTGTCCTGTCACCACACTTCCTGACAAAGAGTCCCTCTCTGTCTCTCCTGTAGGCTCTCTTCAGATGTTGGTAGGCTGCTATGAGGTTTTTCTGAAGCCTTCTCTTCTCCAGGCTGAACAACCCCAGCTCTCTCATCCTTTCCTCATAGGGGAGGTGCTCCAGCCCTCTGATCATCTTCGTGGCCCTCCGCTGGACCCGCTCCAGCAGGTCCATGTCCTTCCTGTGTTAAGGACTCCAAAGCTGGACCCAGTACTCCAGGTGGGGTCTCATGAGTGCAAAGTAGAGGGGCAGAATCACCTCCCGCAACTTGCTGGCCACTCTTCTCTTGATGCAGCCCAGGATGGGGTTGGCTTTCTGGGCTGCCAGTGCACATTGCTGGCTCATGCTGAGCTTCTCATCCACCAACACCCCCAAGTCCTTCTCCTCAGGGCTGCTCTCTAACCATTCTCCACCCAACCTGTATTTGGGCCGGGGATTGCCACGTCCCAGGTGCAGGACCCTGCACTTGACTTGGTTGAACTTCATGTGGTTTGCACAAGCCCACCTCTCAAGCCTGTCCAGGTCCCTCTGGATGGGGGAACAGCCTTTGGGATGACCTGTCCCCTCCACCACACAATCTAGCGGCTATGGCCTTGAGACATCAGCAGGGTGAAGTCATCCATGCTGCTGCATGCATCAAAGCTCAAAATTGGAGCTAAGCATGTGGGAGCTGAGAGTGCTCAGCACAGAAATGGGACAGTGAAATGATGTCTTTCTGAAGGACATCAAATTGCTGTGATAGAGAACATGCAGGAGAACAGGAAGGTCATCCAGGATGAGGGTACTGGGTGCACTTCCCATGAGTGCTGAGGCAGGTGCAGAGCTCTTGACTGCTTCTTTGGTCCCTGCAATGAATCTGTGCTCAGGATTTGGCTGCTATTTTTTTGCGGAGAGGGCTTTTTCACATGTAAATCTCATCCTTTCTGATCAGTGGAAATGTCTCTTGGCAGCCACTACACTCCCATATCCTATTTCCTGCATGAAAATCCAGATGTCTTGAAAAAGTTTTCAGGGGCAAGGATGGACCCGATGGACCCAACTCGTGTCCACCACTCAGAAGGGAATTATGGCTGATGAAGTCTAGCTCAGAATGACTGAAGACCTAAAGTTTCAGTCTCACTTTCCTGGTGTCTTCCTTCCAAAGGTGCTGGAGGTGCTTCCTCAGACCAAGGGACATATCCATCTCCATCTGCTTGGCCAAGCTGTACTTCTTCCAGCACTTGGGAAGTTACCAATGCTCTCTCTACACTCCCATGACCTATGGGCACTGCTTGACTATGTCCAACCCACTGCACTCTCAGGCCATCGTGCACCAGGTTGTGTGTGTCTGGCTGGTGGCAAGGTCATGACTGGCCGGTTCCCTGTCTCCTTCTCTACATGCAATACTCACTTCTCACAGGGCTTTCTGCAGGCCCAAGCACATCCACCACTTCTTGGGTCATCCACCAGTTCTCATCCACCAACTTGACTGACGAAAATGGGGTAATCCTTCTGTGGACAGGATCCATCCAGTGACCTGTGCCCTGGAGAGGGGGCAGCACATTCTACTGTGCTGTGGGAGTGACTGAGCACTGGCACAGGTATCCCAGGGAGTTTTCCCAGCCTCCCTCTTTAGAGATTTTCAAAAACCACCTGGACACGGTCCTGGGCAACTGGTTCTGCATGGCCCTGCTTGAGCTGAGGGGAGTGGACCAGATGACTTCCAGGGGTCCCTTCCAACCTCAGCCATTCTGTGAGAGAAGCTGATGTGGAGCAGCTCTGGGTTCCCAGCTTCTGATGGGATGTAAGGTTATCTGTACTGTCCTCTCTTTCTTTCTAGTCTTAACACTAATAAATGGCATTTTCAGGAATGCTGTGAAGAGGCTGAGTGCCTTTCTTAGTGGGATCAGTCAGTGTCATTTCTGGTGCCCCAGCCTCAGGCTTTGCATCCTGTGGGGTCTAGAGAACAAGTCGTATGAGGAGAGGCTGAGGGAACTGGACATGTTTAGTTTGGAGAAGAGGAGGCTGAGGGGAGACTTCATGGCCCTCTACAACTACCTGAAAGGAAGGCGTAGAGAGGGGGGTGTCGGTCTCTTCTCCCAAGTAAATAATGACACACGCAGAGGAAATGGTATGACATCGCGGCCGGGGAGGTTTAGATTAGGTATTAGGAAGAATTACTTTACAGAGAGGTTGGTCAGGCACTGGAACGGCCTGCCCAGGGAGGTGGTGGAGTCACCATCCCTGGAGGTATTTAAGAAACGTGTGGATGGGGCACTTCAGGGCATGCTATAGTGTCTGACATTGTTGGTTTTTTTCTTTTTCCTGTGTGTGGTTGGACTCAATGTTCTCAAAGGTCCATTCCAACCATGAAGATTCTGTGATTCTGTGGGGAGCCTGGCTTGTCCCAGGCTGTACACAGAGGTACTGTTCCCTTTAGAGAGCTGGCGCTCTTCTCACACCCCACCTATCTCCTAAGGAGATCACTTGCAGGCATCTAAAGCTGGAGGAGTTTTTTCAGTTATTTTTTCATGGAATTCTTTGTGGCTGCAGCCGTATAGATGTTCTTCAGATTTTATATTATCCCTGACCCACAGACTTGGGAAATGGAGAGGCTTAATATCTGGAAAGGCCATGGCAGCTTTGACTCCGCTGTGGTTTCTGTCTCTTTTCTAGTGAGAAAACAGCTGACCGAAGCAGTGTCAAGCTCTTGACCTCACTAAAGCTGATGGTGCCTGATTCATTGCCTTAACTGTGGGGTCTGAAGAATGTGCCTAGGTTCCTCCTGAGAGGCTGAGAGCTGGCATTGGTGCATGAGTTCTCAGTGATGTGTGTGCATGGTCACACTCACATATATGTTCATCTGCTGTGCTCATGAATGCATTTGCACACATGGGAAGGGACCTTGAAAGACCACCCTGTCCAACCCTTCTGCCATGGACAGGGACATCTCTCACCAGATCAGGTTGCTCAGAGCCCCATCTAACCTCACCTTGAACGCTTCCAGTGATGGGGCTTCCACACTGTCTCTGGGCAACATCTTCCAATGTCTCACCACCCTTATTGCAAAACATTTCTTCCTTATGTCACTCATCTGCCCTCTTTCAGTTTAAAGCCACTGTCCCTTGTCCTGTCACTAAAGACCCTGGCAAAATGTCTTTCGCCTTCCTTCTGATAAGCCCCCTATCAGTATTGCAAAGCCACCAGAAAGTTTGCCCAAAGCCCTCTCCTCTCCAGACATGACTACCCCTCCTCTCTCAGCCTCTCTTCACAGGACAGGTATCCCTACCAGTTTTGTAGCCTTCATTTGGGTCCGCTCTAACAGACCCTACAGACTCTTCCCAAAGTCAATGAAGAGACATCAGCTCACGCACAGGACTTATCCCATCCTACAGTAAATGGAACAAACCATCTTTCTGGAGACACTGTGCCTGCAGTTGTCCAGTGCTGGCCTCTGAACTAAAGTCACAGCAGGGCCTGCCTTTACCTGGTCATGTGTACATCATACAATCAGAAGTGAACCCACAGGCTGTTCCACCAGACCTACAAACACCTCCATCCCATGGCTAAAGCCCATATCTGTGTCCCTGGTACTCAGGGACAGATGAAGAGCAGGGAAATGGCTTTTGTTGGGGTGAATGGGATCACGCTGGCTGTGTTACCCTCATCAGCTGCATCTCTGCCTCTCACTGAATGCAGAGCAGTCTTCTCTCAGACACAGTGAACTCTTTGAAACAAGATTTGCAGAAGATGACTCTGTCAAGTCCAAGTCCTGTGCCCTGGACAGTGTAGACAGCCTCTCCTTGGGTGTCTTGAGTCTTCTCAATGAACTCTAGATGCCTAGAGGTCTAGATTTGTGTCTGAGTGTGTGTGAGTGTGTTGTCTAAACCAACTTTTAGTGTGCCTTTACTGGACTCTTCCAGCACGTGAGATGATTCCTTTGCCCACACTCATGTGTTTTGCACCGGAAATGCTTGGGCCTTTCATCCTGTCACACAAAAGATGCCTCCACTGGGGAATGGGCCTGAGCAGGAAATGGGAAGACACCAATTCAGGAAGCCAAAACAGAGCCCATAGCAATAGCCAGGATGTTCTGCATTCAAGATGAGCTTGTCAGCAAATAATCACCTCTGCAAGGGAAGCCTCTGGCAGCCTGGGGGCGGAAAGGTGCACAATAAAAGGCAGCCCAGCTCCTCGCTCTCACATCCACTTCTCTTGCTTCCTTCTCCTTTGGAGTCAGGTGAGTGTGATCCCCCTTCTCCTTCTCCACTGCCTCAAAAAGGAGGTCACACTTCAACAGACCTCTCAGCTGACACTGGCTTTGTTCCACACCAGATCATGGGGCTGCTTGTCATGGGAGAGGGAAGTGGGGAGAAGATTAGACATGGAGGGAGGCTGGGACGGTGCTGTTGTGGCTTTTGGACTCAGGGGCCAGACAGTAGCATCAGAGGAGCTGGTGACTCTTTTTAGGCTCTGTAACGATGAGGCCCAAAAGTCCTCATATGTCACTGCACAGTCTCTATCTGCAAGCACTGCGTGTTCTTGGCTCCTTCATGGTAGAGTGACAGGAATGAACGCTCATGTTTTTCATCTTCCCTGCCCTCTCTCTCAGGTGCACCTCTGAAGCCAAGACATGTCCTGCTACGACCAGTGCCGGCCCTGCTGCCAGCCCTGCGGCCCAACCCCACTGGCCAACAGCTGCAACGAGCCCTGTGTCAGGCAGTGCCAGAACTCCACCGTCGTCATTGAGCCTCCTGCTGTGGTGGTGACCCTGCCCGGCCCCATCCTCAGCTCCTTCCCTCAGAACACCGTGGTGGGATCCTCCACCTCTGCTGCTGTTGGCAGCATCCTCAGCTGTGACGGAGTCCCCATCAACTCTGGGTGCTGTGACCTCTCCTGCATTACCAGCCGCTACTGTGGCAGCAGATGCCCTCCCTGCTAAAGATGTAAGCAGTAGCCAGTGGTACAAGGACCCCCTGGAACTCAGAACTTGGTGTTGGACAGAGGATTAAACTACATCTACATACTACATTAAACAAGAGCAGCTGACCATCTCTGACTTGCCCTGCAAGGGCAGACGTGAAGATGTCAACCTGGGCTCTCTGAAAACATGGCCAATGTCTACCCTTCCTGTTCCTGTCTTTCTCGCACTCTTTTTGTCTCTTTTCTTTGTTTCCTTGTGTTCCCCTCAAAGCCTGTTGTGATACCCCAGAAACCATCCTAGAGGGACCTGCAGCCTGTCTCCCTTTGCTGGGCACATCAACAGATGCCCTGTGGGAACTCTGCCACAGGAAAAGGGAAACACATTTTTGTCGGCTCTTTCTGCTCCCCACATGGGGGGACTCCACTTGATGTGACCCCATTTCCCTCTTTAGACTCATTAAACAATTGTTGCAACCCTGCCTGTGTCCTTTACGTGGTCTTTCCACCCGCACACTCCCTGTTGGGGGAGAAAGCCATTGTTTTGTGTGAGGAATTAGGTGGGGGGACAGGGGAACTCTTCATCACTCCTTGAGGCTTTGGAGGGTGGGACGCACTGCAGAGAGTCCTCTTTCAGGCACTGCCTCTTGAAACTGAGGAAGACATTCCCAGTCACTCCACTGCCAATGGCCATCAGTCCTTGCCTTGCTGAGACTCTGCTCAGAAATAATCCCCTGGCCATGGACCGTGTCATGTGAAGAGGAATCCTGACAGCTGCCAAGGCCATCCCACATCTCCAGAGCATGGCACCCTGTGCTTTGGGAGTTTGCCTTCACACAACGCCTCCACAGCACCAGAACTGCAGGACAAGGTCATTCCTGCATGGGGTGAGGATGGGAGCACCACTTCTTGCAGGTTCTGTGGGAGCCACTGCTGAGTCAGGTGGCAACAGAGGGCCAATGAGAATCAGGACCAAGCACACCCAGAACCACTGCAACAATGGCAGCCATGGCTTTCATAACAACATCCCAGCCTTTTGGTCTTCTCTGATGTGCCACAAGTCTGAAGGACACACTGGACAAAATCAAGTAGGTGAGACCCCTCATTGCCATCCCCCTTGTACACAAAACTCCCCTTGTTTTTCCAAGAAGAAATACGCTTGTGCTACCCTAGTTCACTGAGGAGAAACTGCAAACTCCTCCAAAACTGTGGATGTGTAATATCAGGCACTTCCTGAACAAGAGGGGTGGAGCCCTCAGGAATCTCCGAGGGATTTTCCCACCTCTGTCTTGTTTTCTTCTGGAAAAGCAAGAATTATTTTACTCCTTTTCTGATTGCTCTGCTTCTTGTGGGATAACTACGTTTGACAAGTATCTGTATACGCCTAAGTTTTTCGTAGGACACCAAATCTGGTGTCTGAAGAATGCCCCTTATTTCAGCATCCAAAGAGAGGACAGAATCAGCCCTCATGTCTTCCCCAGGTAATAGCACAAACTATAGCTTCTCCAGCTAATTTACAGGTACCAGATACATTTTTTCCACATACTCCATCCCTGCTTCACCAAAAGAACAAAACTTAAGACCTCCAGAAATTCAATAAAAGCATTTTTCCGGAGCACTTCTTAGTACAGCTGTTGCCAGCAACTCTAAGACCACAGAATATTCTCAGGCATAACAGGCAGCAAGAGATGGGCATTCAGCAGTTGGCAAGCAGTTGCAAGTCTCCTGCACAGCATCAGATATTGTGAAAGTTTGGCAGTCAGAATTTTGTCTGGGGTTCAGCAGCTTGATGCTGATATAATTGATATAATATAATGTAATGTAATGTAATATAATATAATATAATATAATATAACAAGAACGAGGAGAGGAGAGACAGAGAGAAGAACACAATAAGAATAAAATAGAACAGGACTAGACTAGACCAGACTAGACTAGAATATTACAGTTGGGAAGGACCTGTAACAACCCTCTAGTCCAACTGCCTGACCACTTCAGGGATGACCAAAAATTAAACCATGCAATTAAGGTTGTTCTCCAAATGCCTGTTCAACACTAACAGGCTTTGGGCATTTACTGATGGTCCATTGCTCCAGGCAGCCTGTTTCAGAGTTTGATCACTCTGTTTGTAAAGAAATGTTTAGTAATGGCACGTTAGAACCTCCCCTGATGCAGCTTTGAACCATTCCCATGTGTCCTATCACTGGATCCCAGGGAGATGAGATCAGCACCTCCCTCTCCACTTCTGCTCCTCAGGAAGTTGCAGAGAGCAATGAGGTTACCCCTCAGATTTTTTTCTGCAAACTAGATGAGCCCAAAGTCCTTGGCCACTCCTCATAGGACATTCTTTACAGCCCTTTCTCAGGTTTTGTTGCCCTCCTCTGGACACATTCAAGTACCTTCACTTCCTTCTGAAATTGTGGGGCCCAGAACTACACACAGAACTCAAGGGGAGGCCACCCCAGCACTAAATACAGTGGGATAATCCCCTCTCCTGACTGGCTGATGCGACTGTGTTAATGCCCTCCAGGATGTGCTTTGCCCTCTGGCTGGCAGCACACATGCCTGACTCCTGTTGAGCCTGCTGTCAACCAGCTGCCCCAGATCCCGTTCTGCAGGTCTGCTCCAGCCACTCCTCTCCCAATTTAGATTTGTGTTTGGTGTTACTCCATCCCAGGTGCAGAATCTGTCCTTTGGACTTGTTAAATTTCATGCCATTAATGATTGCCCAATGCTTCAATTCATCTATATCTCTCTGCAAGGCCTCCTGTCCCTCCAGAGAGTCAATGGTACCTCCCAGTTTGGTATCAGCAGCAACATCGTTCATGGTGCATTCAGCTTCTGCATCCAGATCACTGACAAAATCATTGAACAGAACTAGCCCTAGAATTGAACCCTGAGGAACACTGGGCTTACTAATCTTTAACCAGATGTAGCCTCATTCACTACAACCTTTCGAGCCCTGCCTTTCAGCCAGTTCTTCACCTAGCACACGATGTACCTGCTCATCCCACAGATGGACAACTTCTCCAGAAGGATGCTGTGAGAGACACTATCAAAAGCCTTACTAAAATCCAGAAAAAATACATCCGCCACCTTCCCTTCATGCACTGGGTGTTTGACCTTTTGATAGAAAGATAGCAAATTAGTTCAATGAAGTTTTCACCTTGTGTCCTTATGTTCACTGTTCCTGATGATTGCATTGGTCTTTAAACACCTTTCAATAGTACCCAGTATGACATTCTCCATAATTTTTTTCCGTGGACTGAGGTCAGACTGGGAGGTCTGTAGTTTCTAGGGTTTTCCTTCTCAACCTTCTTTCAGTTGGAAAAACATTGTCTAGGTTCCAGTCAGCAGAGACCTCCTCAGCTTCCCAAGACCTTTGGTAGATCATTTAGGGGATTCCTGCTGTAACATCTGTGAGTTCCTTCAGTTCTCTGGCATGAATCCTGTCTGTCCTCATGGACGTATGACCTGATGATACAGGTCATACTGGTTCCTTACAAATTCAGTGTCCACAAACGGAAAGTCATTGTTCCCTTGGTCATGGTTCTCCAACTCAGTGGACTGGGAAGCCCAAGGTCCATCAGCATTATTAAAGACTGAGGCAAAACATGTATTGAATGCCCCAAGTTTTCCATCATCTTAGTTATT